TTTAAGGGTTAGCACATCAATTAAAGGGCCATAACTCTGCTTAGGAATCATCAATTTCAATGAAACTTCATCGGCCACTTTGTATATACAAAACACTCCAGCATGTCAAATTTCAGCAAAATCAGACAAGGTTTGTGTCCTTATTAGGTTACAGACTACTAATTTTACCCCTATTTCATTGACCACGCAAAGAGTTCCAGATTAAAAATAGAGGTATTTTCTTAAAAATTCTTTGAGGTGGTTATGGGGTGGAATGATGTTATTTTTGGGCATAGATGGAAAGGAGAGAGTTTGAAAAAAAATATAAAATTGATAATTTGTTAAATTTTGCCCTTAAGCGCGTAGTATGAAGGGTGTGAAGAGGCCCATATTTAATATCTCATCTGTTTTACTATCTGGTATTAATTATTCATATTGGACAAATTATGGGCAATAAGTTAAGCTCTGCCATATCAAATAAGTTTTCAAAGCATTCTGGAAGTGCACATGGTAAAAGAGGGACCAAAAGAAAGCTTGAAATTGACTCGGATAAATCAGACAACGAAGAGAAAGTAGAGGGAGTTGTGGGACGTTCGGAGGAAAGCCCCTCCCCAACAAAGTCGGATCTGGAAGTTGGTTTAGCCCCACTCTCAGACATTCATACACCTAAAAGGTGAAAAAGTTATTTGTATTAAGTATTGTAAAATTATAATGAGTCTGAAATGTTTACCTGTTTACTTGACAAATTACTGTCATTTGAGTGTCAGGCTTGTAACTCCTAATAACTTTGAAACTCGTTGACAGTTCGTTTAATGAAACTTTGACTCAGTTATTCAATCCAAACTCCAAAAAATTCTCCAAAATTAAAATATATTTTATTAGTCATACATTTTTTTGTAGAAAGGTTGATAGAAAGGTTCATAGTCATTTCTGAACATAATTCATATGTTATTAATAATATGCTGTGCATTTTGTGGGACGCCAGTGTTTTGAGACATGGTTAAACTACTACATTCTCATTGACAAATTCTTTTGTCAAAATATTTAATGGCAAAATTGTCTCTACATCTGGACCAAATTGACAAAGAAGTTGGGACTAAATAGATTTTGTCAGACAGCTAGACATTTCTTAAATTTTGTCTGCAGCATAGATCAATGTAACAAACCATCACAAATTTGAATTTAAACTTGAGAACAAAAATTAATAAATTAGCTAAAAGTTACTCTATAAATATAAACCACTGTCCACTGCATACATACAAATCATATGTATAAAGTTAATATGATGCTTAAGGTGTATGCTACATGGAAATGGTTTGCTACTATATGTATATATATTTTTACAGAAAAAGACTCAAATCAACATCAAAGTACATTTATCAGACATTATTTCTTGATGGGGAAAATAGTGATATCAAAATATATGCACTAGAACAAGAGTGGAAACTTCACAAAATATATCTCTCTCAGGTGAGAATTTACTTTTGAATGTATAGGCATTCATCAAGAAATGATAACTTGTCTTGAAAACAAGCATCTTTTGTTTTAAAAACATGAGTAAGCTTTCAAAACTGCATTATTTTTTGTTCATTGAGAATATTGATAAGTTTTCCAGAAAATAAATTCTTCACAATATCTAACTTTTTCAAAAGACTGAGGTAAAGTTAACTTTGTTTGATATTATTTTCAGTCGCCTTACTTTGCCTGCATGTTCAATGGTTCCTGGAGGGAATCTCTTCTGTCTGAAATAGACTTACAGATTCCTGACCCAGCCATAGACACTGCAGGTTAGGAGAAAAAAAAAAGAAAGTTTATAAATTATCTATCTTAAAAAAATTTAAAAAAAATTCTTGATACATGCACATCTGTACAATTTTGCTTTTATCTCACCTCTCAAAAAATTAAAGCACATTTCTACATGAATATGATTATGTAATGTTGATATATCATGAAAGTTAAAACTTTGTTGTAGCTCTGAAGACCGCCTTTGGTTCTCTGTACAGGGATTATGTGTTTATCAAGCCAGTGGAGGTGGTAGGGGTTCTGGCGGCAGCATTTCTCCTACAGCTGGTAGGTCTGAGCAAAGCCAGGCTCAGCTTCTCTGTAGCCTGGTGTAAACTGAAATCATAGATATTCCTTTCTAGGAAGGCTTTAATTATATAATGTTGATATTTTTGTAGGATGGTTTAAAGCAGCAGTGTTTGACTTTGATGAGTAACACTATAAGGTGGGTGTCAGCTTTATTATTCTAAACCTGAATTTCACTGAATAGTACAAACATATATTGAGCACACACGTAAAGGCTTCACCTACCAGTCCACTTATTTTCTTCATTCTTAAATACCTGTTCAGCTATGTAGTTGTACATAATATCTAAACAATATACAGCTGAATATAATGTAACACAAAGTTTTCTTCTATATAATTACAGTGGAGACACAGTGTGTAGCTACCATGAAGCCTGCTGTAGATACAGTGTGGAGAACCTGAAAGCAGAGTGCTATAACTGGCTCCTTACCAACATCCTGACCTCAACCGACCTTGACCTCTTTAAACAAATCAGGTCAGATTTGTGTGTGTTTTCGATCTTTTATATGATGTAGACACAATGTAGATATTGTCACAGTTTCATGCAAGACAGATACTGTTTGAGACAAATTATTTGTTTTCATAATGAATAACGCTTGGTGTCTTAGTCAATAAAAAATATGAACATTTTGAAATGATTTAGACATTTTCTTTGCTTGTTTTGCTTTCTAGAGTTTAATGTTTAGAATTTTTATATAATTTTTTTCACATGCTGTATCATACTGTCAATTTTTATTCAACATTTCTTTAATACACAGTGTTGACATGATGAAAAACTTAGTTGGAGATCCCAGATTGTTTGTTATGCAGGTAGAAATGGATGTGTACACAGTGTTAAAACGGGTAAGATGTCTGCTTGTTGTATGACTGTAATTTATGTACAGTAAAACTCGGTTATAAAGAAGTCACTGGGACTTATGAAATTACTTCACTATAACCGTAATTCCTTATATCCGTATAAAAAATTCATAATTATTATTTAGTTGGGGATCCAAAATGACTTTGCTATATCCGTGACTTAGCAATATCTGTGTTCGTACTAAACAGGTTTTACTGTAAAATATATAAGTGTTGTATAGAAGTATGTAAGTGGATGCTGATTTATATTTTTAGTGGATATTTCTGAAAGAGAATCCTACCTGGTGTGGAGACTATAAATCAATGCTCTCTGTCATTGATGATTTCTTTAAAAGTAAGTAATTATGCCTGCTAATTAATACTTGTACATCTGTTTTACATAGATAATTCTCCTCACATAATCTCGGATAGAAATCTGTGCCTGTAAATCTAAGAAATATGCATATTCAATGTATTATTTCAATCTGATTAATATCAGATCTTGTTTTGCACTGAAATTCTGATAGTCCCAGTAAAAAGACTAACAGAATTTTGAAATTTTTACAAAGATCTGATTTTAATCAGATTGTGTATGATGCATACTTACATAATGAAATTAAATTTCAATTCACTCTTTTTCTTTAGGGGCTGATGAACCCGACTGTTATCTAGAATCTTCTGAAGGACAGACATACCTACCAGCCTTCAGTCCTATAAGATGGCAGCATATTGTCATAGATCTGGACTCACTGCTGATACTGGAACAGGACAGGATAATCAATCTAGGTCAGAATCAGTATTTAATCATGAACTTTGTCAGTATTTAACCTTGAACTTTGAATGAAAAAAATGTCGAAAGGGGTGGGGGGCGGGGGTTATTGTTATTTCTTTGTAGCCACCCGTGATTTATTTCATAAAATTCCTGAAGAAAAAAAATGTTCAAACACAAAACTATATAATTTCTTTTCCTAATTTTAGAGTGGATTAAGCCTTTATATCATGGCATGTGGAGAAAAATGTTGAAATTAGAACAATCCAAGGACAAAGGGTAACGGTTCTTATTTCATGTGACTGTGTGTTTATCTACTTTTCATTCATTATTTATTCCTTAAGTCAATCTTCTTCAATCTGCAATCCTTTCTTGTCAGAAGTAAAATCTTATGCCGAGAATGAAGTAATATACTTGTAAACTTTTATTACATTTTATCTTTAAATCAACAGTCCAGAGGAAATTCCAGATGAAAATCATTTTAATCAAACCTCCTTAAGGTGTGGGAGACTCCTTAAATGTGAAGGAGAGGTAAGTTTTCCTGACAAAGAGAAAATTTATACTATATAAAGATATATCAATGATCAAATGTTATTGAGTTGTTTTGATTCATTTCTGAATGGAAAAAAAAAAATCTATTGATACCTGTACTTGATGTAATTGCCGTGATATCAAATATGATTACTGCTATATGGGGATATTTTCTTGTGATCTAACACCTAATCCGAGCTCTCTCTATTTCAGTACTGTTGGCGTTGGGTTGGTTATAATTATGGAGTAGACATTTTACTCACCTATGTTAACAACCTGATCTTCATCAAGCGAAATACTCTCACCCAGCCCAACCCTCACTCAGCTAGCCTGGAAAAAGTCCGAAATTTTGCCTACAGGTAAACTAATATGTTTTGTAACAGTTAAACACAAACATTCATGTTATTTGACTTGTTGAAGATAACTACGACTTTTTCAGTCATATAGTTAGGTTCGCTGATCAATATTTATGTGTTGATGTTAAAGAGGACATAACTTTATTTTGAAGGCTGACTGTGGCTTCTGTGGATAAAGATGGAAAAGTAACGGAGACTAAAACTACAGAGATCCAGAAACTGTCCCTACATAAGGATGAGGTAATATCAGATACTTAATGTCAGGGCCCACTTTTTATAATAATAATCGACCCTCAGTTTAAATGTGGGAAATGGTTGATAGAGAATAGTACATATATACATACATACTGGTACTCTGGCCTTTAAGAAACAAAAGTTTTGAAACAACATTTGAAGTAGTAAATAAGTTAACTAACAATATTATGTTGTGAAGATTTTTAAATAATTCAACTTTTGCTTACAGTGCTTTGCCCTGGGGTCAAAGAGGGGGGGGGGGGCTAGAATGGGGGGAAAAGATTTAGTTTAACTAAAGTTGCTTAAATCATGGGTTGAAATGCTTGGATACAACCTGAAGAAATTCCTTATATCTATATACTGTAAGTCCTTTTAATTTCACGGTGTTAAAATTTTACGATATCCCAAAAAGTACCAATTGCGATGGTTTTAATTTCACGCTGCAAGAAATGAATTCAAATTTTGTATTAGCATCTAAACTAAGTAACCTAAGAACTAGTAAGAGAATTTTGTAATTTTCAAATTTTGTATTAGCATCTTAACTAAGTTATCTAAGAACTAGTTAGAGAATTCACGATGGATTTAATTTTGCAGAAAAATGATAAATCGCGAACACAGCAAAATTAAAACCGTCGTGATTATTTGCCAATCTACAGTTACTGTATTTGATTTCTTGTCAGAAAGGTGAACAAGTGTTGTAGCCCTTGCCCTCATTAAAATGTTAATCAATTTTTAGTTTCATCCAATTATGATTCTGTTTTTAAAAACAGAATAAATTAACTTCAATTTTCTACTAGGCATAAAATATTTATGGAGAAATCAACAATATTGGTGTCCCAGTTAAAATTTTTGGAGCATGTCCATTCCCAAGTACATGTTACTGTTAGCCCTACCTGGACCAGACTTGCACGGTGAATGCTTTAAGGGATGGAAACATACTTCAAATCCTGCATCTGACGATCTTTCTGATTAAAGTTTTGTAGCTGGTTCATACTTGAGTAATAAACTTGCATGAATATACATCTAGGGAAGCTAACTTCCAGAATTACTCCAGATGCTGGGTTTAATTTTCATTTGCTGTTTGAGCAATGGTCGGATTAAATTTGGACCAAGTTAGAATTTTTTTGGACCATTCCAGTTAACTTTAAATCCTATACAATTCAAATCTGCATCACTGTTTCATCTAGGGATACACACTAGCAGAACATTTATTTAGTGTGAGACTACCTATTTTATAGATGCATTTGCATTTGTCTAGATGAACACTTCATTTGTTTGTTTTAATATTTTTGTAAATGTACAGAACGTTTTGCCATCTCTTGCATTTCTAAAGTTTGAATTCTAGAAGTATATCATTTTACTCTGTGTTTCATCCAAGGTTACTTATTAAATAATGAGAAAAGAATCAGTTATTGTGGGATTTTTAATTATTCACAGAAAATCGGTAATGTTAAGATTAAAACAGAATTCCCTTAACATTAGAAATAAGTAACTCTGTATAAAACAATTTCATTATTTAATCCAACATATAAACGATAATGTTAATATATTGTTGAAACTGTTTGCGTAAAAGCTGGAACCGTCATTGATAAAAATCCAATTCATTTCTTTTGGTATTTTCATTGCTGTAAGAAATATATTGGAACAGTTTTAATGTCAGTAATGAAATAGATTAAAGTATCGCATTCATAAGTAGTCTTCTAGTATATCATTGTTTTAACTGATGACAAGCCTGCTTAACTCTTGCTGATGTATCGAGTAATTGAATGTACATTGTCTGGTCTACAGGTCTACAGGTCTTACAGAGAATAAGGATATCAATGACAATGACAATGACAGATATCAGACATATGATATTTTATTAGATTGATTTCTTTTCGGTAATTATGTTCCCCAAACGAAGTTGGGGAACATATTGTTTTTACTCTGTTTCTTATTATTATTATTTTTCTTCTTCTTCTTCTTCCTGGAACTTTTTTGTCCGGGAGTGATCTTGTAAACTGTTCGTCCGAAGTAGGTAAAACCTTTTTAGGGTTAGTAGACATGTTATGTAGATTTGCGGAATCAAGGTCATTTTGCGCGCACGTGCTTGCAAGAGCGTGCACGTGCAACACGTGAAATGACCAACATAATAGATAAAGCCACAACCGTTCTATTTTTAGATGAAATGCTTTGAAACTCATAATGTGAGGATATATTAGTAGTATAGACATGACGACATGGTAAAAATAGCAAGATCTCATGCGCATGCACGTGCACTTCGCTCTGATTGGCTGCAACTAAAGTCTCAATATCTTTCTTGTTTTTTGACGAAATCCTTTGAAATTTTTAACATAGCCATGTATTAGGATATCCTACAACATGAAATAAAGCAATTATCATGAAAACACGTGCATGCAGGTGCGCTGCAATCTGATTGGCTGAAACTTTAAACAGCTATAACTCCCTTGGTTTTCAACCAAACAGAATGGGATTTGGAACATAGATAGATATAATGGACTTCTACAAGAAGGTATGGTCACCATGCACATACATACACATGCGTGTACATGTGCTGCAATCTGATTGGCTGAAACTTTAAACAGCTATTACTCCCTTAGTTTTCACCCAAACGGGGTGGAATTTAGAACATGAATAGATGTAATTGACTTCTACAAGAAGGTATGGTCACCATGCTCATGTATGCACGTGCGTGCACGTGAAATGAGTAAAATCAAACATACACTTGAATGAGCGTATTTTTTAAATAATTTTGGATGAAATACTTTAATATTCAGTGTATTAAAAATATAGATTGTGTAGACAAGATGATATGGTCATGACGCAAATGCATTCACATGTGCACGCGTGCAATACTAAAGTTAAATGATTTTTGTAAACTTCTTTGTAAATGTTGTTAAAATCTCAGATGCATAGAGTTTGTCTTATTTAATGAAGCTTACAGGGAATATGGCACCAAAAGGGAGTTGGGGAGCGTTTGGGGAACATCTGTAACGGTCCCCGTTACAATTAGCACTAGTTATACATGGTTTACGAATGGATTGATTGGGAAGTAACAAATACATTTGTGGAATATCTCGCAACGATTCTTCTAAGTATCATATTCCTATTAATGTAGATTTATATTAACAGACAAGCAATA